CAATGTTATTTATGCCTATAAATTGTCATATCTCTTCTTAGTCCGTTAGTGTGGAGGACTGAGTCAATCTTGTGAGGAGTTGAACTAGATTTAGGTTTTGTTGTTTCCATGATTACTTGTAGTATCTGCTAGCCACACTAGGGCCTTCAGCAATTCAATAAAAACTGTAGCTGAATTCTTCTTACCTACTTGTGTAGAGACCTTGTCTTCTTCCTGCTTCATAAGTGTGCCACTGCCTGCATCCCATTTCTCCTTGGAGGCTCCTGTCCTTCTTTGGAATTCAGGTTAATTGGTTATTCTGCAACCTCAGCTCTCTGATGGATTCAACAAAAGTTATAAATTTATGGATCATCTAACAATTTAAAGAAATTATTAATGTGGGAGTGATGCTCTTCTCAGCTTTCTGCATCCTAGACAGAAGCTAGTAGTCTAAGCCATCTACTTTTTCACCTCCTTTTGCCATCCACATCTAGGTCCACTGCCTGGGTCTTTCTCTTGGCTGACACTCTTCCAGGATCGCCCCCTAAATTATTTCTAGCTTGGATGCTTTCTTCCTCCTCAACCCTTTCATCTGGCAAATATCTGGCAAAGAGAAGGGACAGAGGTTCCTGATCTGTCACCATCTTGGGGACAGCTCAAAATAATCCATGGAGTCCTGTTCCTAGGGATGAGCCTGAAAAAGGGGGAGATGACTTTGTGACCTGAGTTTTTATCCACTGTACCCCTGACTTGGCCTTACTCCTTTCTGCTAGGAAATGGAACCAAGTATCTACTCCATCCATTAATGAGGAATCAGAACCAACTGACCAAAACATTTATCTGGAAGATGAAAACTGCAACAGGTCAAAGAGAAACAGGCCAGGAGTAGTGGTTATAACTACAGTCTCTGGAGGCAGCCTACCTGGGTTCAGATTCCAGCTCCTTCACTTACTAGCTGTATGGCCTTGGGCAAGTCCCTTCACTTCTCTGCATCTTAGTTTCTGTATCTGTAAAATGGAAATAATAATAATATCTCACAAGATTGTTAAGAGGATTAAAAGAGTTAATATAATAAGCTCTGTAGAAGTATTAACTATTAGGGCGTACTTTTATAATTTCAGAAATTTGCGGAAGAAAGCAGTTTCTTCTCTGTTTCAGAACCCATTACAATCGAAACAGCTAATGTTTATTGAACATCTCCAAAGAGCTCGAGTCCTGTACTAAGCATTTTATATGAATTATCTCAGAAGAGGTAGGGGTCAAGCCTTCCTATCTATTTGGCAAGGAAATCCAGGAGCAGAGAAATTAAGTGTTTACACAGCTGACTTGATGCAGAGCTAGGTTTACAACCCAAGAGGGTCTGACTACCATGCCTGTGCTCTTAACCACTGCACTCCTTTCTTCCCACAAACTAGTTTCCTTGCTTGTAAAATAGTGGGAAAGCTGCTTGCTGTTTTTATCTCACAGAGTTGTTTTGAGATCCCAATAACAACAGAAGAGGCAGTGCTTTAAGTATCTGCATAGAGTACTGGTCTCCTGACATGGAGACCTGAATGTGTCATGAATTTTCACACTTCCATTCCTTTCCCCCTCTTCTCTGCTTGTTGAACTAATTTATTCAAAACTCAGCTCAGATATTAGGCCTAGATATTATTCTGACAAGGGAGGGGTTTAAGCAGAGGGTGACATGTCAAACTTGCATGTTGAAATGACTGACTGCTGTGTGGGGAATGGGGTGTAGCAGGCCAGAGTGAGGATAGGAAATCCAGCTAGAAAGCTGTTGCAGGAGTCAAGGGAGATGGTGGTGGGAGCAGAGAAGAATGGTGGATTGGAAAGATATTTAGGAAAGAGAATCGACAGGAAATGAAGATGCATTTTAATGAGGGCAGCGAAGGAAAGGGAGGTGACAAGGACGAGTCCTTAGTTCTTGGCTTGTTCAAGGGTGTTTGATGTTCGTTGAATGAATAATCAAGTGACCCCACCACAGAAGCATCTCTAACAGACACCTCGGGCCGCCAGCCTCCCCCACCACCCTACTCCCCGCGGCTTCTGGAGCTACGTGCCCGAGAGAAAGGGTGGGAGGGAGGAGGAAGAGAATGGGCGGCCTCTCTGACCGAGAACTGCTAGACTGGACACTGGCACTCGTCTGAGCCAGGAGGCGCTGCGAGGAGGCCAACCTTTCCCCTTTCAGCCCGCAATTTGCGCCTCTGCCCCCACCCCCGCCCGCCCGGG